TTTTTTTTTTTTGCGAATTTGTCCATATTCGTTGAGCAGTAGAGATTCATTTGAAATCAGCAAAGACTTTCAGGCAAGCCACGTCACACTAATGATCGGTGAGTTACGTACATATTTAAAGCTAATTGGTTGTTATGCAGATCCGCCACATATAATACCCCTAAAATAGTACAGATTTGATGTAGAGATTAACGATGTTACCCAAACTATTTGGGACGTCCCAAACTATGTGATGAATAGCATCACACGATTTCAGCAATAACAATAAGGGGGTAAATACCTCATGCGATATTATTCATCACATAGTTTGGAATGCCCCAAATAGTTTGGGTAACATCGCTAGTAGGGATGGTAAAAAAAAACATTTTTCACCGGGTTTAAAACATGTGATGCTATATTAAAATTTAAAACTCAGCATATCAAGATTATAAGCATCACATGTTTTAAAACGGTGAAAAATGTTTTTTTACCATCCCTAATTTGATGTGACTAGAGTGCTCGCAGGTTAACCTGGGTTGGTTTCAATGGACTTCCCAAAAAGCAAAGATCAGACATAAATTTTATCATACGATTACTACATCCAATCAGAATCAAGATTTTGTGTACAAACGCAAACTCGAATTGAACCATCCACTACGTTTCTGGTATAATGATAAACCAATCAGTGATAATTGATGCTACTATAGACATACATATATAAATAAGGTCTATCTTGCCACTTATTACGATTTAACCGATCATGATCAAACATCTACATGATGGTAATCTTCATAAACAAATAGGCGGAGGCACTTTAGTTTTCAAAGAAAAATATGCTAATTACATTTTTAAATACATCCCTAAAAATGATGTAAGAATAAGTATGGGTGTTTTTCCGTATTGTCCACCTCATTTTGGTACAATAATTACTTTTGCTCTTGCATTTTCCCTTGCTCAAAGATTAAAAAAACTTGGAAAAAATGTATCAATTATAGTGGGAATGGTGGATACAGAGCCTACAGTTAATGATGTATGTAAAATTGATGAGGTTTATTACCAAAAAAATATTACTTACACTGGAGTAATTTACGATCATATTGATGATTACAAAGAATTACTTGAAAAATTAAATTCTCACTTCGGTGGCATGGATTATGCAATAGTAAATTTAAGTGATTTAAGTCTACATAGGAAGGCTCCGGAAATAATTAAGAAATTAGTAAATGAACGAGAAAAAATTGGGGATCTGTTATTTCCTTTAACAAAATGTCTCGCATTAAGGGTAGCCTGTCCTCAATGTGGTTTGACAGATAGATATGGAATAAAAAATTGTTACGATGGTGATATAATTCGTTTCTTTTGCCCTAATCATGGTTGGCATTCATTTGATATAAAAAAAGATAATTTACAAAAGTTGGAGTATGGATCACCATTAAGAAATTTTTTAAGAGGTTTATTATACACGGAGGATAATAAAGAAAATGATATCCCTTATTCTTGGTTACGAGTTACTGGTAGTGACCATGCTGGGTTTTATCAAGAACAGCTTTTTTATAGAGGTGCTGCGATGTTAGATATTGACATAATTAATTCCCCGCTTATTGTTTATTGTCCTTTAATAACCGATTGGACAGGTGTTAAATTATCAAAGAAAATCCATTTTGGTGGAGGATATAAATATTTGACTGAGCAAGGATTAGATTATTTTCTTAATTATAAAAAATTTAAGGAAAAATTTGGTGAAAATGGTATAGAAATATTATTTGATGAAACGAATTTGTGGTTAGAAGAATCACATAGATTGTTTAGAAGCTATACTATTTTTTATTTTATTGAATTGTTTAAGGAAAAATCAATCAAGCTATAAATTTATATTTAGTTTACAATAGAACTGTAGAATGTATTACTGGTTCGAGTTTAGTAATAAATCCTATTTTTCACGTTATATTCATTTGTCTATTTTCCAATTGTATGCATTTTTTATGTGTTTATTTATTGATTTATGAATCTTTTTTTTTTTTTTTTAATTCATTTTTATTGAATATCAAATCTGGTGACTAGCAAAAAGGTTCAATTTGCCAAATCTGCCGATATTCACAACCCATACAAAATATTGAAAAAGGTGTGTAGATTAGCTGAAGGGTATTTTAAAGCTTCATCCATTTTGGTGTCGTTCATCAACTTTGTGAAAATTATTCTTATATATATTTTTTACGATTAGGGTGTGACTATTGCCCTTAGTTCGTAACCCGCAAGCCTTGATCAAATATTTGAAACTTGAAACTTATAATAACAAAAAGGAGCTTGAAAGACTGAAATTATCCCGAATGTATATGAAGAGTGTCTAACTATATCTATTAAAAAAAATCTAGGCCTCTGTAAACAGGCACCAAGCAAAATACTACAATACTAAGTTTGTAATATAAAGAATTCTTACTTCACAATAGTTTAAAAACATTTCTAGCACAAAATATTCAAACGTTTAGCCAATAATAGAACGACCAATTTATAATATTCGATATCATAATATTTAAAAATCTTTATAACATTGTCACTATCTCTAACATTTTGTATTTTTGTAATTAGTTATTTATTCAGAATAGAATTTAAGGCAAAGAAACCACGTCTTTTAGAGAATTAATACTTTTCCATGTTTAATTTTTTACAAGCAAATATATTATTTCATATTAATATTTTATAAATAATAAAAATCCCAGTCGAACAATTAAGGATAGTTTATTGAAGTTAAGATATTTGATTTAATGATGACCCCTTAAATTCAGCTTCAAGTGCTTGTTATTTTAATAGTATTATAAGATGTTATGGTTTATGAAAACTCAATTGAACTGCTTTTATTTTAAAATAAGCTACTTATAATATTTTTGTATAATTTTTCTTTCAAAAATAGTAGCTTATTTTTGGAAATATATAATATTTAATGTATAAAGTTAGAATTTAAGATTTATAGAATTTATTAATATAATTTTATAAAATTTTATTATTTTAAAGTTTTACTAATTAATTCTAACTTTATATACTAAGTAAATTTGTTTAATACCAAAAAATATATAAATATATATTTAAACTTAATCTAGTTTGTAAACTTCCAATTAAAACTGAATAGATATTAAATTTAACTAAAAAGTTTAAATATAAAAGATTAAGTTTAGTTCAAAATTAAACCAAACTTAAACTTGATTAAAATTTGGTTTAGATTTGATTTATAAAAATCCTATTTTTAATAATCAAAGAGATTTTTATTAAACTTTAATTTAAAAAAACATTTTTAATAAACAAAAGATTATAATCTAAATTAATTTGTAATTATAATTAATTATTAATTATAACTTGGCCCAGTCTGACCCAACTCACAATTATAAAATTTTAGACCTGGTCTGGCCCACTAATATAAAATTTTAGGCCCGGTCTTGCTCACAAATATAAAATTTAATTGTTAGACCCGGCCCGGCCCGCAAACCAGGCTGGGCGGGCCCGGGCCGGGCTGGGCTTTGGGACCCAATGCAGGCCTCTACCCTGGAGGTATCAAATTAAAATCCCAGAGTGGTATAATGAGCTAATACTTGTCAGCCCCTTATGCGTTAGGTCTGAAATACGTACAGTAAAAACTCGAACTATCTGTTGAAGAATGGTTTTTCCTAGTCCATTTCCCACTGAAAAGTTGTCCGATCCAGTTCAATTTATGGGAAATCAATATGCTTCATATATATTTGCATGGTATGAATAAATAACCTGGTAATTATTTGATGACGCTAGATCACTTAAATTCTGATCAAATGAGTATGACTATCGTTGTAGGATGCATTATTTTAATAAGAAAATGCGGAAATCACTTTATTCTGGGAGAATGCGTGACAAAACGTCATATAAAATAGCTAGAATAAGTATTCATGATTACAATATATTTTGCTTTAGAAAAATAATATCAATTACTTTATTACACATCATATATTCATAAATCATGAATTAGCGAATCAATCTCCGTTTCAATTTACTAAAATATCCTTGATACTTCCATTATTGGATTGTAGTTCTTTCGTTCCCTTGTGATAACTTACCTACTCCAATTACAAAAAAAATATTATAATTTTTTAATTATGTTGCTTTAATTAATAATATTGCATTTAAATTGCTTCATTTAAAAGTGCAATATTTTTCATAAAGTATACGTACGTACGTACGTACGTAATTTTAGCAATGCAGTGTGGCTTTTGTGGCAAAAAATGCTCGAATTAATCCTGTAAGCTAATTTAGATGTCACTATTGCTATATGTCAGAATATATTTAAAGCAGTTTGCTATTAATTTCAGATCAAATATAATATTTAATTAAATAGGTAAATATTTTATAAATAAGGATATCTACTAAATCTTTAATAAATTAATCAAATATATATAATATACATTCAAATTACACCACGAACTTTTGTTGGTGACAAGTAGTTGATAAAATACATATACGACAGTCAGTTAAGTCATTAAATGGCAATTTTTGGTATTTTTATTTTATTGATTGGTACATGATTTATTTACTACCATCTTTGCTGATCGTAAATTATGAAAAAGACGGCAATAACTAAACTTGGCACTAATTATAGTCTAAGCCGACTAGAGATCTGATAGAATGCGCAGACAATCATTTTGCCAACAATATATCTATTCAATACTGCCCATAAATCAAGCTAAAGCATATAAATTGTGCCAACCCTAATTTAAATCGGGCAAATTTGTTGGCAAAATGACTTTTATTGAACGGTTGTCGATGATACATAAATGCGAATAAGATCTTTGATATTTTCCATTATTGGGCCATAGTTCAAGGTATTTCCTTGTGATAATCTACCTACTTCAATTACCTTCCATTTGCCTATAATCAAAAAAAATTCAATAAAAAATAAAGCATTAAATTAAAATTTTCTAACATTAAAAGCTTACCATTTTTTGATCGATTAATAAGACACATTATAACAGTTTGTGACTTTGCAGCTTTATGTATATTGTATTCACATAGCTGCTTATCCGGTCTCTCTTCATCATATAATTTAAAGCTTGGATTCCGGAAATGTTCGATTGTCGGAGAATTATATGAGCTTAATATTAAATAAAGCTGATTAACAGCACTAGGAAGTTTGTCGAGATTGACTTTAATTTTCTGATGTCCTGTAGCTGTGAAGATGGTTGAAATTATTAGATATACATAAATTTAAATTATAATGTAATATACTGTAATATTAGAACAAACCATTTTTCTTGTCTAAGATATCTCCGGAATGCCTTATATATGGAGCATCATTATAATATTTATGTGACCAGCCATATATCTTCCATAATTTATAACCTTCATATATCAAACAAGAGCCGTCGAGATGGTCTATTCCTGAGGGAGGAAAACCCCAATATAAATCGAATACTAAATTTTTTAAAGCATTCTTTCTCGAGATAGAATGAAGTACGACGATAAGTTGAATCTGGCTATTTGCACAGATTCCATAACTAGCGAGCGTATTTTCATCTTCATCCTTTATAAAAAGGGGATAATGAATAAAATAATTAAGATAAAGGTTATAAAGACTTTAATAAAATATAAATAACTTGCGCACATCTAGTTCAACATTTTTATAAATTAACATTTGTTTATCAATATCTATCTTAGTATAATTCATTAATTTATGTCTTAACTCTTTAACCGTTTTAATTTCGGAAATCTTTAATTCAAACGTTTCACCATTTAATCGGACAACATAAAATATCCCAGAATTATTTCCAGAAGTTGTGTTATTCTGTTCTGAAAGTTCGGTATTTGTTTGTGAGGGATTTCCGAAATCAATCTTAAAGTTTGCATTGTCCCAAAGTAAGCAATATTCATTAAATTCTTGGTCAGTTAATTCAACTTCGCATATAGGACACCGATGATTCTGCGTTTCTTTTAGGTATTTTACAAGACACTAATAAAAAGTTAATTAAAATAAATTAAATAGCATATTTTGCATATATTGTACATATTATTAAAGGTATTATACCCTTAAACACCAAGGTGTAATATGTTCACACGTGGGACTAATAGTACCAAATGGAAATTCTTCTGAAAGTTTATTAAGTTGGCACTTTTCACATTTCATTGTTAAAAATATACGTGTAAGAATTATTGATTGTCCGAAGCGTAGCGGAGGACGAGCTATGGCATAGTATGGACCAGATTTTATGTGAGATCCTGTCCACACCTATTTTTAGCATCAATTTATTTAATTTGTCTGTTTCTATTTTTAACCAACGTTTATTAAATTTTTACATGGCTCAGGGAATTTAACAGTATCTGTTTTCCTAGTATTATATGCAGATTATGTCCGTACATGGTTTAGTTATAAGTAAATTTTATTGTTTGGCTAAATTAATAGAAATAAAATCTTAAATTGTGAATTGTGAACACTTACTTATACGTACATACCAATATTAATAGTTTTCAAATATGTTCCGTTTCCTATTTATATTTTTTAAAAATAAAAATAATTATTATTATTTAAACATGTGTATTTTTTATTTTATACGTACATATTATACGTACATGTTATTTGACCGTAGCTCTGTGCATTGATTGGTTATTTATTCCTGATCTGATTTGATAATTTGGATCATGTGTATAGAATCTTTATAATATTTATAATAATGGGGATTGCTATCGACACAACATCACATAATCTCTTTTCCACATTCTAACACTAACATTAATTGTAGTGCTGGCCGGTCAATAGCTGTGTCAGTAGCTATTCCCATAATACGTAGCAAGAGATTGCATAAGCTTCATATGATTCCCATGGTTTACGTGACTACTGCTCACGTGGTCTATTCGCCT